CTAGCCCAAAGGAGAGTCATTTTCAAATAATTATGAATTGGGTAGGATAATGTAACTAATGTAATTTGACAGATTAGAATTGAATACCCAAAGGTAAAATGACTAGCTGAAAAGTTGTGTAAATTACTTTAGACCTACATAAGTGATTCTTGACGAGTGGACAATAGATACACCTAAGTTTTGCCCAAAGGAAAAACTTATGCGACTGTAACATGCCCGGGGAGTACCCGCGTGCGTTAAACAGTTTGGACTCCCGAGATCTCTTTGATCTAGTGTCATGAGTGCAATGTGAAACATAGATGAGAGTCCAGATTTGGCAACTTTTAGAAAATTCATTTTATTGCAAAACCTTTTGCCAGAAATGGACTGCGTCATCAGATCTCAGAGTCGCCACCTAATATTTTTGGAAAATTAGGAAATCCATGACTCGTGCCAAGGTCATTGTTCGTCGTAACCAAAGTTGTCTCGATTCGAAACCTTAGGTATGAGAGGGAAAGGTCATAATTGAGCACCTCCACTCACCCGATCAAAAGATCGGCCTTTACTAACCATGATATGAATTTTATTTTCTTTATATGTTCATGTTCTGATTATTTAATAAATCTTAAAATTTACTATGTGAAACATACAAGTATAGACTGTACCATTCATTTTGGAACAATTTGATTTAATGTATTTTGAAAGAGTTTTGATGTATAACCCAAATAAATTGAGTTTACAAACATGAACAATCAACATCATTCCAAATTAAGCGACACAACCTCCATGTACTGGCATTCATATAATTATATCACATAAGCAAATAGCCTCATGGTAGAATGCTAAACATAGTAAGAAAAAACACACACAAACGGAATGCTAAAGTATAAAAACTTACATGTTTAACGTCCCGTGAACAAGCTACAAAACAAAGTTAGTAAAATATGCATGATCTTATGTACAAAATCCTAATGCAATTCACTCATGAGATGTAACTAAAGATTCGGCTTCTAAGATATGACATGTGAATCATCTCAAGAACATAAGGTAGCGCACATAATCACATAGGAATTGATTAAATCCACAAATGCAAAATTAGCCGAATCAAGATGCATGAAACATGGATGCAAAGTATGGATATAATGAAAGATGAAATATGATGCATATTCACAGATAAAGAAAGCAAGTAAAAGAACGGAATAGAAAGAAGCGGGGCGGGGAATTATTACAATACTTTGAATAAATTATTACAAACCAAATAAAAGAGAGAGAGAGAGAAGGGAATATTACAACAAAATAAAAACCTCACAAAACACTCAAAATAAAAATAAATAAAATAAAAGAAACTTGATCTGCTTTGGGGATTGTCGGAAAATATTCTACTTGACACGAGAGGACTGCTCCGTTCTGCTTGGGGAAACTTATTTTGCGGGAGCACTATTCATCCTGGGGCACTATTCATTGCCAACAATACTATTCACCACGATAATTACTATTCACCATTTTTTATCGTTATTCATCTTACCGGGCATTTTTCGTTCGCAGTTACTATTCATCACCGGAGGTACTATTCATCGTCGGGGTTACTATTCACCGTCGGAGGTTACTATTCAATCGGTGGGGTAAATTATTTAAAGTAATAAATTACAATAGTTTATATATAATATTTAAATTACAGCAGATATGTGGGTGGTGCAGCCTTCCCGTTAAAGCAGTAAAACAGTTATATAAAAATAAATAAATTACAACAGATATGTGGGTAGTGCAGTCTTCCCATTATAATGGTAAAACAATTATATATAAAAAAAAAGTAATTTACAACAGAGATGTGGGTGGTACAACCTTCCCATTAATGGTAAAACAATTATATAAAAAGTAATTTACAGCAGATATATGCGTGGTGCAGCCTTCCCATTAAAGCGATAAAAAAAAAGTTATGAAAAACAGTAAATGAAGTATTTAAACAAATTATATCACATTTTTAAATTAAATGAAAGTTTGTAAAAACTCACCTTTCGGGGAAATGATGAATTTTCTGATTCACAAACTTTATTTTCATTACCCTCAAGTCTGAGGAATGTGTTCTCAATTCTCGGTCCAAAAATTGGAATTACAGCTTTAGCGGTTGGTTTTGGAATGGTGTATTGATGAAATGGAAATAAAAATATCTAAGAAAATATTTTTATTTTCCCTCTCTCTCTCAAAAAATAATTTTCCTTCTTTCTGATTCTTTTTGTAATAACCCAACCCTCTATATGTTTTCTGGTATGCCTTCGGTTTCTTACTGTGTGCATTTATCTGTTTAAATGTAAAATTTCATGTGGAAATAAGCTTAATTGTGTGAGCCTTATGATTATAGGCTCATATCTGTTTAATAAGAGAAAAAAAAAACCTGTTACAATTATAATGTTTAGATCAGAAATTGAAAGCCTTAGAAGCTTAATAATCTGAAATTGATTTTATATTTGAGACCAGCATGATTTTTAGGTCATGATATGATTTTCTGTGAAATTTGGATTTGGAATGATTAAACTGATTGATTTTCGTCCTTATTCATGTTTTATATGTATATATATATATATATATATGTTCTTTAAACATTTGAAGCCATTACACAAATATCTCCTGAGAGAGAGTTAGAGAAGAAGAGAGT